TAATTTTGAGCATAAAAGCTTAAAACTTAAAGTGATGGTTCACTCAAAAAATATTTTATTCTGCTGAACACATCAGATGTTTTTTTGAAGAATGTTGGAAACCTATAACCATACATCCATAGCAGAAAAAGTAATTTTATGACCTTCAATGGTTATAGGTTTCCAACATTCTTCAAAATATCTTTTTTTTGCATAAAAATAGTTTGGAACAACACTGTAAAAAAGTTGACTCGTCCTGAAATTGTAAGGTAACTTGCTGCAGAGCTTTTTTGAGTTGACTCAAAAATGTCCTGAAGCTGGTTGCCTCAAATTTTTAAGTTGGGTCAACTTTTTACAGTGAAATAAAGAGTAAGTAAATGATGGTAGAATTTTCATTTGTGATTGAACTATCCCTTTATAAAATAATTTTTCAACTTTTATTTAAGGTTTATACTGCAAATCCATATACAGTATATCCACTTGTTTGGTAAACAACAAGCTACAGTAGGCCTCACATACAGTATATTGCATCCACTACAAAAGAAAATATTACTTTACAAATTGGATCTAAACATTGATATATTACTCATAAATATTATGGAAATGAATATAAAATATAACATAATATATATTATAATTTTAGATATTATATATTAAAATTGATACAATTTTAAATAAGACTTAAAACTTTCTGTGTAACTTTCTGTGGGCCTGATTCTGTGTGCCTAGTCATAACTCATTTATAACCGTTAAGGAAGATACTTCATGTATGTGTAAACCTAGTAGCAAATAGGCAAGTCTTAAAGCCTCTGGCACTCTTACTGACAAAGAACGCTCTTACAGATAAAGCCCAAGGCTAGAGAGGTTATTCCCTGACTGATTATTATTTCATTCTTTTCACTAAAACTCATTCACAGTGACACGCATTGTACTTTACAATAGATTAAAGAAAATTCTTTAAATGCCACCTGATCTTTAATCTAGCAGTAAAATCCTCTCCTTTAATGATTTTATTATATTCTTAATAACATCATCGCTAAGTTACTGCTTTAAATCAACATTGCCATTTATCCACATACAGTAATACTACATGAATGTAATTCAAAATCAAAATTCAAATCAAATATCGTAGCTAAATATTATCAGATTTGTAATTGTAATTTAATTTAAAGTTATTTTCCTTCTCAATCTTAATTTCATCATGAATTTAATTTTGGGTTCAAATGAATTATGATGTTCCTGTTACATATCAGGATGAAAGATAGTTGTTCAAACACTGTGGGTGATTTCCAAATAAGAGCTCAAAGCTGTTTCTTAAATTATTGACACTCCTCCAAAATACCCACAGTCTTGTCTGTTTCCAAGAAATTTGACTTTCTTACAGCAAATAAAATCTACTAAACTCAGTTATTAGTCCATTATTGTTTCTTCTGCCTTCACAAAACTTCATGGCAGGTTTAAATACATTCATGTCAGAGTTAAGTAAATGTTATTTTTGAAAGATGATCTCATCCGCAGCTGAATTTATAAAACCACATGACTTACAGTTAATTTAAAACATAATTGCAGACCAATATAAACTAGTAAAACTGGTTGTGGCCACATGCTTCGTCATCATGTGAATAATACAAATTAAATGAATACCAACAAATAACATGTACATAAATACATGATCTATTAACAACTAAAACTAACCAGTATGTATTTCCTTCACTGCTTTTGCACTTTTTTTTTTCCAAGTGCATAATCCAATAGTGACAGTACATTTTGTTTTTCATTACTGTAGACTATTTATAACATTTTAGTTAAGTAATCTGTGAATACATTTTTTTTTTACTTCTAGATAATAGTATTTTTCATTTTGAAGCTACTAGATAGCATTTTATTAGCCATTGACCAGTGTGTGTGTATTGTAATAGCACTACATTTTGGTAGCGCATTATTTTACTAGTCCTGTTTCACAGTCCACAATCATTACCAAAACTTGGCAATATCCATGTACAATTACTAAACCTAAATCTAGCCTTAATTTTCTTTGATAAATATAAAGTACACATATTGTAAAATGCAAAGGTCCTTTCCTTTATCACTGGTTACCTAACTAACAACATACTGTAGTTTTGGTCTTGTTTAATCACAGGATTGAATGTATACTTCCTAGGTTTAAAATATTGTTAGTGAGTTTTAATTTTCTAATATGTATAAGTGGCATTTAGTATCAGTAAAACTAGATTTAAATGAATAACACTGAACTAATGAAAACTGAATACAATTACTGAACTAGTAGGTTATAGTAGTAAATGTCCTGCTACCACTTCTGTTAAACAAAATGCTAATTTTTGAATCACTGACCTCCATGGGCATATAGGTAATAATAAGAGCAGTAGCAATGGAAATAGATACATTTGGAATGTTAGAACAGCAGCAAGAACCAAAATATTTTAAAAAACTATAATAATTCAAAATTTTGAAAAAATGATAAGAAATGAATAACTTAATTTTAAGGCATCCGTGTTGCAAGTTCAATCTACTTACTGTTGTAATTACAATTAATCATGCATGATTACATGACACTAAACCTAACCAGTATTGTAACCCTAACAATACATTAAGTGCATGTAATTAATTAATACTTAGTAGTTCAATGGATTGCACACTCGCTGTAACAGGGCCACCTTTAAAAATGAACCAAAATTTGACCCTGAAAGTCAGGCACAGATTAAGAATTCAGAGGCCCCTGGGCACAATGTCTTGTAGCCCCCCTACCTGGTCGCACCCCTATAATTGAATTAAAAAATTAAATTATTATCATATTTTGTAATAAAATTAATCTATATGTTATTGCCCACATTTTTTTTTAAATAAATGATATACAGTACATATACATGTATTTCAAGTCTACAAAGATTCAACTTATTTTTGAAGCATTTAAAGCACACTTTGAAAAAAAAAAATACTAATACAACTAGTGGAAATTAATGGATTTTAATATACTTATTCAGATTGACTGAAGCAGTGCTAAAATTTATATTTAAGGGTATTTTTAATGTATAATCTCTACAAATTTAATAATGCATATGATTAGGATATAACCCCTCTCCAATCCAGTTCTATGAATCTGAGTCTTGCATAATACACATACTTATTAATGATTCCTACTTGTCTTCCTCGTGATGAAGAGTAGGCAAAATCTGATATGTAGTAGGGGAAAAAGAAGAATGAGCTCACCAGATGCTGGATTCGAACCGGGTTCATGATTGATTGTGTCAAAACATGTAGCCATGCGCTTTACGAGCTATGCCACTCACACCGCTGTTAGATGCTCTCTTTAGTTAAGTTGTCTCTGTCAATCAAACGGTGATGAGCCAACGAGGTGTGCTATTTGCACGTAGACTAAATAGACACTACAAAATCGGCGTTTCCCCCACCCTCGCAGGGGCCCCTGGGCCTGTGCCCATAATGCCCATTGGTTAATCCGGCCCTGCTGAAGGTAGTGAATAGTCTTAGCGGAACTGATCACATGCCATTTTCTAGAAACATTGTGAACACCAAACAGTAACAATGTAAAACTTTATTGGGATACTATGGGATAGCTGAAATGTAATTATTACCAGCATCTAATATATAATTGTTTTGACTAATGGAAAAAATAATTGATCTCTAAGATAAGTTTGAGTGAACTATTATTAGGCCTACTAGTGGAACTCAAAGACATGCTCTTCATTAACGTATTGTTACTTAAAGGATATTTCACCCCCAAAAAATAAATAAATAAAAAATTATGATAAATGATAGATGATAAATTTACTCACCCTCAAGTGTTTCCAAACTTTTATGAGTGTCTTTATTCTGAACACAAAATAAGATACCTTGAAGAATGCTAAAAAACCTTTAACCATTGACTTCCATAGTACATTTGTTAAAACAAATATTATTAAAGTCAATGTTGACAGTTTTACAGCTTTCTTCAAACATCACATTTCATGTTCAACAGAAGAAACTCAAACAGGTTTGGAACAAGTTAAGGGTGAGTAAATGACTTATTTTGGGTGAACTACCCTTTAACTATGTATTTAAAATTATTCTAGTTTTTGTAGGTGTTTTGACATAAATGATAAAATGCCATAGACTCCTACCTTTGTAGATTCTTGAATGAGTTTGCGTACCACCTCTTTAATATGCGGGCTGTTGGATTTCGGTGGGTGGGTGTAAACCGACACCCGAGTCACCCCTTTGTAATGGCCGTTGCTGGGCCAACCGATGTCCAGCGGAGGGATCTCCGTGTCAGACATGGTGGGCCAGTAGGTAGAGTGTACGCCCGAGTCCTCGCTCGTATCATGGGGCGACCGTGAGCAGCAGGTGTCCGAGTCGCTGTCATACTCCTGGAAGGTCTCCCGCATCCACTTGATCTCCCTGGCGGACAGAAAGTCTTTAACGCTATCCTCTTTTAGGCGCATCTTGAACGCGCCATCCCCGTTCCTGAGGAGCTGCTCGAGCGCGGCCCGCTGCTCCTCACTGTAATAAAACTCCGGTTTGGACTCGGGTATTTTCACGTTTACATGTTCATCGTCCATGCATATTAGTTGAGACTCAGCCATGGCAGCTGCGCTCCCGGAAACAACGGGTTCACCTGTGTGGCTTCTTCAGGCAGCCCTCTCTACCCACCTTTACCTGTTTGAGTGGTTTGGCTGAGGTGATTCAGTGCCGAATAGAGTGGGTGGGCGGGGATTCGGAGCCGATGGGCGGGACTTCAGAAAGGTATTGGGAATTGACATGACGACACTTGTTTAACTTACAACAGAAGACGGATCAACCTGTCACGGTAGTTTCCCTGTCTGACTTTTTTGTTTCAAGATAACTGACAAGAGTCAGGAAGGTAAACAAAGGAATGGACACGAATACAGCTGCCAACAGGAAAAGCTAAACTAAAAAAGTTTAACATTATTCACATGGAAATAACAAAGAAAATTTGGGAACAAAGGGTTTTTAGTTTTAAGTATGGCGTTAAAAATAACACTGTATTTTTGAAAGCACTTTTATTCAAGTTCTGTATAACACTGCTGTTATCATGTTTGAGTCTGACATCTTTTCCATCCTGTACAACAAAACAACATGCTTTGTAATAGGCCTGTTTTGACAAATTGTTCGAACTGGTAAAACATATAATTCAATACAAAACGGTAACAAAACCTTGCTAACTGTAAGAACTCCTGTGTTAGTGTGTCCTTTTGAAAACCTAAAATAAAACGCTTTTATAAATGATCAAGGTGATGACAAGTGTCCCAGCAAACACCGAACACTGGCCAAATGTACTCACTAGGCCATAATAACATTTTCTATGTAGGTTGCAAAACCAAACCAACAAAGAATGTTTTGGGAATGTTCTGGCCAACTTTTCCACTACTTGTAAACTGGGGTCATTGTGTATAAATGTACTGTATAATTCAATAATCTGTATCTGGGAGAGTTTGACTAAAAGGAATGGAATGGTATAGTCCTTTCTTCGTACCTTATTTCTAAAATAAAAAAACGGTTATATATATGAAAAAGAGAAGCACGAAAGACTTTGATGAGAAATATCTTTTTCTCAGTTGTCTTCAACAGTTCTGCAGCAGTCTATATGAAATTCATTTGAATTTAATGGACCAGTCCATACATTGTACATGTATTTGACTCTTGGTATGGTGATTCCACACCTTTGAGTATTAGATCTGTTCTGTGTAATTGGCAGGGAAAAGACCACTCCTGCCCCGCAATCGACCTTTCCACCATGACGCATCCGAACGGTCCAGTACTTCAATGATGTCACCGCTATTGAAACCCAATTCATCGTCTTCCTCTGCTGTGAAGTCATATATTGCTCTCACCTGTATGGTTGATCTCTGACACACACACATACACACAAAAACAAACAGTGTCAGTACCATAAAAGATACCAATATTCTCCTGAACTTTGTTCTTCTATAGTCTATCTTTTTTTATTTTATTATATTAATACTATATTATATTACATTATATTCTCTTTTCGGCTTATCCCCTTTATTAATCAGGGGTCGCCACAGCGTAAAGACCGCCAAATTTTGCAGCATATGTTTTACACAGCGAATGCCCTTTTAGCCCCAATGCAACACTGGGAAACACCCATACACTCTTGTATTCACACACATACACTACAGCCAATTAAGCTTATTCAATTCCCCTATAGAGCATGTCTTTGGACTGTGGGGGAAACCGGAGCACCCAGAGGAAACCAACGCCAACACGGGGAGAACATGCAAACTCCACACAGAACCAGTGACCTTCTTGCTGTGAGGTGATCGTGCTACCCACTGCGCCACCGTGACGCCCTATATTATATTATATTATATTATATTATATTATATTATATTATATTATATTATATTATATTATATTATATTATATTATATTATATTATATTATGAAAATAAAATTGACTATCAATATACATGTTAGGTTTCACTAAGAAAACAAGAATAAAAATTGACATATTTCTGACAAAGTAAAACATTTTTTGCACAATTATAAATCTTAAATTCATAGAAACAACAAAATTCCCTCATATCTGTATATACAGTATGTGTTTTTGTCTCAGCTTAGTTTCTGGGACAAGAATATATTTCAACACTGACATTATTGCACACATGACCTTTACAAAAAAAAGTTTACACAAGATCTACACGTCATAAATTTTTCAAGATTTCTGGCATCCTACCGGAGCAGGGGCAGTTTCAGAGGTTCGTCGAGGGGCCGGGCTGTTCTTCCCTTGGTGACCCAGAGTGTTAGATTTCTCCTCAACACTTCCTCTCTTACCCTGAGAAAATTGCACAACTTTACTCATTAGAAAGCTATTTTTTTTCTCGTTAAGCAATATGCATAACAATTGTAATTCTATATTTATCTTAATGACACACTTGTGCACACACACACACATATCATTATATATTCATTATTTATTTAAGCTTAAAATGTTTTAATGGACAGTTGGTTTGCTGAATGGATAGAGGCCTCTGTAATTCAGTTTGAATGGAAACATTAATAATTTAACAAGCATTTTCAGTTTTTAAATGCAAGGTCAGATGGGGCAGAATTTCCCTGCTGACACATTACTACCTTTTGGTTGTGAGTTGGATCTGTTGTGCTGCGGTTTTGTGATGAGGTTTGTGGACTGCCATAGCCACCACCTGGGGGAGGCCGAACTTCTGGCTGACTCTTTATCTGAAAGCGAGGACAATTTTAATCAATTAAAAGTGAAGAATATCCACCATAGCATTTCACTTTTTGATTCTCTTACATCAGCTATTCCTTGAAAAGCTAAAGGGAAATCAGCAGATTCATGAGTGCAAAGAAGATGAACAATTTAATTATTAAGCTTGAGTTCACTGAGTTTGTGCATGAAGTTCTGCATGAACAACAATCTAGAATATTAACAGTAAACGTGCTGTGTTTATTGGTTTAAATCGAGAGATTATTTACAGGCGGGGGTGCCCTTGGCTCATCTCCACTTCCATCCCTAAGAAAGATCTCCTTCTGCTTGGATATAGAGGTGGTCTTGTAGAAGTCCACAAGCTTGTTTAGAGAGGTAAACTTCTCTGTCCACAAATAATAGTGGCCCGATTTGTCCTTCATAACTTTGAAATGTTGCACATCATAATCGTGTCTGTGAACAGAGAGGGATAAAAACAGAACATGAAGTTAGATATAAATAAGTGAATGTGAGATGTTTATTTATATATATATTTATTTATATATATATATAAATTTTTTTTTCAACACATTTATTTCAGGGTCTTTTTAGTCATATGATGGCCTAATATAATAATAAATTCACACATACCTACAGGGTGGCTGCAGCAGGAGGTTTCGAAAACCAGGCGATTCTAATGTCATTACTCGATTGAATGGGCGTTATCAGTGGTTATCAGCTGATAGATATGGGCCAGTTGGGGCTTTCTGCACCTACTTGTAGGCTCATAAGGCTGTTATCATCCATATGGCTGTGGGCGCAGAAGGCCCTACTGACCAATATCCATCACTGATAACACCATTTGATCCCATTTGAGTGATAACATTAGAATCGGGTGAGAAAACAGTGTTCACAACATAATGCTTTAAATATAATAAGAATAAATTCAGATTTGATGAGTTTCACATATTTTCGGTCACGTTACAACAAAATTTCCTTGTGCTTTCAAATTGAGCTACCAAAATGAGATTAGAGTTAAATACAGTTAAATAACCATAAAATGAATTTAGTGAGATACATCGCTGCAGGCACCGGACGTTAACATGATGCACGCCAACGTCGTGGAGACATTGGATTTTGTTTGGAAATGAAAATCGAGTTGACGTCAAAATCAAACACCTCAACAATAATCAACCTAAAATCAACCAAATATCAATGTGTAATCATGTTACACCTTGACGTTGTATCTATCAGACGTTGAATTTTGGTCACTTTCCAACATAACCTAAAATCAACCATTGAACATTTAATGTGAGACAGAGTTTTTTAGATCTTTACATTTGATGGATAATTGATAAAGAATTTTGATCTTTACAAAGAACTTTATAAAACATAATATACTTAAAATTGTTTCAAGATATGTTCTGCCTACTTTTGCTTTGTGTTACTTTAAATAACGATAGGATTCAATTCAAGTTCAGTTGTGCAGTGCTTTCCACAAGTATTACAAGGCCTTTATATTACAAAGCAGCAATGTGTTGTGTATATGGCGGACAGTACAGTATGGTTATTTTTCATTGGATGTGTAATCAATTCAGAGTACTTCATTTCAGTTTCAGTCAAGACTTTTCATTTTATTATGGTAATATTTGATTTGAAATGTTTTTGACTCCTATAAAAAAAGTTTCTTATTCCGGCAACCAGCATAGGGTATATGCAGAAACATGCTAATGGGACTTTTAATTTGCCAGTAACCTGGATTAACCGCTTCCAATGAACTGAATGCCATTGCAAAATCGCAAGATCTCCACTGGCTGAATGAAATCCAATATAAAGTGGGTCTCAGATTGTACAAGAAGCACTGCATTAAATTACATTTTCCCCACCATGTGTTTATAATATAAGCATTTTTTTTTCACCCAAGTATAATCAATGGAGTTTCTACGCTCCTCTGCTAATTCTGACAGGTGCGTGCGAGTAAACGGCTTTTTGTCTCGTTTTACATTTGAGCAACTACATGAATGCCAAAGTCTATTTAACTGATTGTATTTAAATTGCATTAAAACATCGATGCTGTAAAAGGACCCATTTAAAATTGAAAGAAAACTCACAATAAAACGTCAAAAGTTTAAAAAGTTTAAAAGTTTATCAGTATGGGAAGGGAACAACATTAGCTCGGCATATACCCTATTTTGAAATTGGTCAAGACTTGGCAAATCTTTTTTTAAAATATTGTTTACTGATATGAAAGATTTACTGTAAAGCATAATAAACAAATGTATATTTTCAATATACAATCAAAATATATTTTCAACAAATGTACATAAAATGTATAAATGCATATATGATCGCAGGCTGAACTTTCAATTTCATATGGTGGTATTAAAACTGGCTTTCATTTATCTTGTTTACATCTTCAGACACAATTAAAAAGTAGCAATTCAGCCAAAGTCTTTATCCGAAGCAGGTTATTCAAGTTTAATTACGAGTCCTGATGTATTGAATTCCAGCAGGTTTGAATAAACAAGTTAACAAAACCTGCACAACCTTCTCTCTGCACTAGAGGGAACCCTCTCTCATTCTCTCTTTCTCTTTCTCTCTCTCCCTCAGTCTTACAGTGTGACCTACTGTATAGCTGATTTATGAGAGGATGGCTAAAACAAATGGACTGTCTGACCGCTGTAATAAGATGGATGTTATTGATGCATTATTGATGGGGTTTTTCCACAGGCTAGATTCAGTCTGTGCGTGTGTGGGCAGAAGCTCTCATTTGTGAAAGTCTTCCAGCCTCGTGGCCTTAGTGGCAAGAAGACTGACATTAATATTTGTGTGGTTACAGCTTTATAGCATTCAGTGGCCTTCACAAGCTAGCTGAAATATTAGTATTAGGCTAACAAGTCACTTTATATAATTTGTTTTATTTTTGTGCAATATTATTCTAATAGGTGCTTGAGGAAAAGATGAAAAGCCTCCATACTTTTGTGCCTCCCCCAGTCATAAACAATATCACAATATCATTTTTAAAGGGATCTTTCACAGTTATTTTCTTCTCTTTTTTTGATCTGTTTATTAAACTTTTACAGATATAACAAAGTCATTTTACAGGAAAATTTAAACAAATATTATTTCCACCCCAACCATCTAAACAAGATGAAATTACAATTATCTAAGAGAGAAAATAAATGAACAAATAAAGAAATGAATAAAAAATTTGAATAAATTAAAAACTAAAAAAATAATTTTAAAAAATGTAATAAATAATAATAAAAAAAGCTGTAAAGAATACATATATACCTTGATAATTCAATACTACAAACAATTATCCTCAGGTATTTGTACAATGTACTTAATTACATTTGCTTTGCAATTGAAAGGCCCTAAGATTTAGATTTGTATTGCCCTAAGATTTAGACAGTTTGAAGAGATACTGACATGCTCAGAAAAGAAAATTCTAAATTGGTCTCATGTTTCAGAAAAAGCCCTTGTATTGCCATTTATTGTAAACCTGATTTTTACTCATTGCATCTTGCAACCAATTGCCAAAACTCTGGGGAAATCTTTGTTTCTAAATAAAAGAATACACCGTCTTGCTAACAGTGTCAAAAATGCAAGGGTGTTTGCAGTACAGCTCGATAACCCTGCTATATTCTGAGAAAGTCCAAAACGTGCAATAAGAGGTGTCCAGTGTGCATCTTTGAAAATTGATAGCCAAAAAGAAGTGATTGACAGACAAAGCCAAATCATATAGTTGAGGTCAAAAATATGAAACCCCCTGAATTATTAACCCCTGTTTATTTTTTTCCCTAATTTCTGTTTAACGAAGAGAATATGTTTTCAGCACATTTCTAAACATAATAGCTTTAATAACTCATTTCTAATAACTGATTTATTTAATCTTTGCCTTGATGACATATTTTACTAGATATTTTCCAAGACACTTCTACAGTATACTGCTTAAAGTGACATTTAAAGGCTTAACTAAATTAATTTAGTTAACTAGGCAGGTTAGGGTAATTAGGCAAGTTATTGTATAACGATGGTTTGTTCTGTAGACCATCGGAAAAATATATAGCTAAAAGGGGCTAATAATTTTGACCATAAAATGGTATTTAAATAATTAAAAACTGCTTTTATTCTAGCCAAAATATAACAAATAAGACTTTCTCCAGAAGAAAAAATATTATCAGACATATTGTGAAAATTTCCTTGCTCTGTTAAACATCATTTGGGAAATATTTAAAAAAGATTTTTTTAAAAATCAAAGGGGGTTTAATAATTCTGATTTCAACCGTTTTTATTAAGTCTGCAGGTTAAAATGAATTTCTTCATCCTCCAGTTGTTCCATATACCTGTTTGAGTTTCTTTCTTCAGTTAAACACAAAAGAAGATATTTTGCAGAATGTTGGAAACTGATAGTAACAACATAGATACAGTGCTCAGCTTAAATACTGTAATAACACCCCATTTTAGCAAATGAATATTTATTCCATTTCTCAGTGAATAGGAAATATATTTTGACGCATTTGAACAAAACAGATTTATTAAACAGATATATTTATTAAAATAATATTTTAGTTACCGAATATCTTTAGAAATGGAAAGATAATACATTTAAATTCATGCAAAATATTGCAAAAAAATTACAAACTACAAAATTTCGACTACATTTTTAGTTTCTCTTGATTTTTGCTCTTTTTGTTAATTTTGTAAATTTGGGGTACCAGTTTAGACCGTTATTGTAAATTATTTTATCTAATATATACGCACACATATAATATTATAAAGCATTTTATAGAAAATATTAATTTAAATGATGGATTTGTGAGGGGTTTCCTAGTACTGAGTTGTGGCTGAAAGGTCATCCGCTGTGAAATACATATGCTGGACTAGTTGGCTGTTCATTCCTCTGTGGCGACCACTGATAAATAAGGGACTAAGCCAAAGGAAAATGAATGAATGAATGGTTTGTGAGGGATGTACTTATATACTGTATGCTGAGAACTGTATATATATTTTATTCAATGGCTACTGCATTCCATCATCCTTTGTGTTCAATAGAAAACAGAAACTCATAAAGATTTGAAAACTCAAGGGTGAATAAATGTGAATTTTCTTCTTCATCTCTTGAAATTCACACTAAAGTATAAAGTAATTTTGTGACTTTAATAATAATTTTGAGTTACCTGACAGAGATGGAGAAATCTCCAGGTGAACTCTGGCTGCCTCGAATCAGGAAAGCGCCCACCTCTCGAGACATGAGCGTCTCCTCAGCTGATCCGCGACTGGCGCTCTCTTTAAACCAGCTGCAAAAGAATACATTACATTGTTCATTATGATCTATTTACAGATCCCACTATATTAAGTACTGCACGTTCAGTGATTATTTGCATGTGGTGTGCAAAGATTAGTATAATAGTATTGTAGCTTACCTCGGTATCTGCCTGTCAACATAGTTTTTCGGCACATAACCCTCATGGCCATGTAACTCTGCTTTGAACCAATCGTCCTGAGACCCCAGAATCTGTCAAAAAAACAGAAAAACATGCTTTTTAAAAATGACAATTAATATATAAATAAAATCAGAATTATGTCATTATAAGTCAGAATTGTTTAAAAAGATTTTATAAAGTACATTAACAAAATACATATATCACAACAAAACAAAGACAATAAAAGTTGAAATTTTAATATGAAATATTTAAAGTATGAGAAGTCAGAATCAATTGTCATGTTTAGGTCATAAAGGCCACAGACATTTTTATGACCTGACTTGTTTCACCATTTGTGACTTTTGTCATAGTTCATGTAGTAATTGCACAAGTGTGACCAGCCATCAAGTCAAAATACCTAATTATAACATAAAGAACATGATTGTTATCTAATAATTTTAATTATAACTATGACGCATGACTTTGTACCCAATAACATGCATTATTATGATTTTTCATGCTATAAGCAATCCTTTACATGTCGAAGATAAGCTTCCTTACAAATGTGGTTTTACTAAATAGATTTATAGATTTATTATTTAAAGGTGCAGTAGGTGATCTGCCAAAATGCTAACCGTTAGCATAATTTCTTTGAAAACACAGTCCCTCCCCTGCCGTCCAATGCCATGCCGCCTGAAATGACGTGCTTTTTAATCATGTCATTGGCCAAACTTTATACCGAGTATTTTTATAATACTACAATAACGAACAAAAATATCTAGCACGTTTTCAGTTCGGCAGCAAGCAAAACTTGTCATGATGTGTAATATTTCATGCATGTAAGGATCACTGGTCTCACTTTCTCACACGCTTTGTCCTAAAGCGACTCTGCTTAGTGGTTGGCTAATGGCGTGCAGGAATTACACTTATTACTAACCCATAATAGCATGCTATTTCAGACTGAATATTCAAAGTAGCTCGTTGTCACGGTTGCAGGTTTGTGCGCTCTTCCGGAGTGTCTGTTTGATCATGTGGGTTTGTTTTGTTTTTGTTCTCCATGTGTATTTGTTCTGATCACGTGTTATGACGGCACTCAGCTAGCTTGATTAGTCCGCCAGCTGAGGCTCATATTCGTGCCTATATATAGGCGACGTTTTCTGTGTGTCATTGTCAGTTCATTACATGTGCTTATGTGTGCTATCTGTCTGTGCTCAGGACCGTGAGGAGTTTCTACAGGACCCTGTTTTCCTGCCTGATACCTGCCCTGTTTCTCCTAGCCCTAACACCGCACTCATTCCTTGCATTTGTTTTGACTGTGTCAAATAAATACTTTTTGTTCACTCGCACTTGGATCCATCAGAACATTTATTTGAGTGTGACAGCTCGGTAAACGATATAGCGAGCACGTCACAGGTTGTCATTGTTTAAATGTAAACCAATATGAAAATAAAAGCAACTTCCCTCAGTAAAGCAGGCTAGGTGGAATAGTGGTATTTACTTATGTTCTGTTGTTAAACTAAATAAACATCTACATTATCGATGCTGTGAAAGGCCCTTATGAAACTGAAAATAGTCACATCAATCTTTCGCCGGAAGATTTCAGTGGCTGAACAACACTTCTGTGCATATAACCCATTCATAAAACAACTAAATCTACATAAGCTTTGCATGACTAAAATAGTTTTAAACACAACATTACCTGTCTAAAAGACATACTTCAGTCAGGGTGTCGTCCTTCTTCCAGTGTGCAAAAGTAACTTCAATATTGATTCAGGATTTTCAAAAGTTTTGATTCAGCATTTGTTTTTACTGCTGTCACTCTCTGTCTTGTGTGCACATGAACGTGGTATGCGTGCACGTGCAAACGGCGGATCTGCATGAATGGCTGCGCAGATGTACAAATCTACATTTGTTGACAGACAGTTTGGGCTACTTATCAGAATTAAAAATTTAAAATTGGATAAACATTTTTAGTCTTATGCCCTACCCAGAATATTAAAAAAAAACATTCCTTTAGATCATTTACTTTAATCACTACTATTGAATTGTGAAGAGACTTTCAACCAGCATAAAAAAATGAAATAAAAAAAATAAATTTTGTTTAAAGTGTAATTTACAAATTTTGACTGTTCAATAGCTATGCCCATAATGCATTGCCACTGGTTTAGAAAAACTGAGCACCACTCAAAAATGGTTTCAACTTTTGTCCCACAGGCATACCCACATTTACTAGACAGATCACATGACATCTGTCTGGTCACCTCCAACTTTATACCTGTACATATGTGTTTAAAAAGTGTCTAAAATATTTATAAAGTGATCCAGAGTGCCTTGTCCTTTTTTATTTCTTGAGCATCCCAAGATAAATATTTAAGCAAGTCATTTTTACTATGTACAAAATAACAGTCTTATAACCTCAAATAGCAAATGTTTTCGCATTAAATTTTTTTCAAGTGGTGCTCAATGCAATGGCTGCCTCAAACAGTAAAGCCCTGATTTGACGACCTCACAACTAAAGTAAAAGCTTTTTGGTTTGTGCATTTAGGTCATCAGTAACTGACCTTCAGAGTGTCTCCTTTCCTGAAGCTGAGCTCGTCTTCTGCCGTGCCACTGAAGTCATACTTTCCTCTAGCCTCCATTGTGAAAAACTGAGAGGCAGAGCAGAGGACAGGGTCTGCAAATAAGAGATTGAGAGAGGCTGCATGTTAGACAAACCATGATGTCAATAGTAGCAGAAAATGAACAGAAATGTGTTAACCTCAGGCTTGTGAGAGGGAGGAGAGGTCAAACAACTGCTGATGTTCTTGCTGAGCAAATGTGTGCAGCTGTGGTTAGCAGTCTAGTCACAATTGTACGCAATGCAAATGTGCACAAAGCTGAGCATGTTGGCTATAAAAAAGGATCCTCTGTCTTTATTCTGTTTTAAGATTTGGTTAAGTACTGAAGTTTTTAAAGGGGTCAAGGTTAAATTAAGCATAAAATCAGTGGTAGAAAGAATAGAGAAAAATCAAACTCAAATAAAGGCGCCAAATAATGTAGTGCAAGTAAAAGTATCATATATACACTACTGTTACAATTACTACTCAAAATATGAATAAAAATTTGCCCTTCTAATACTCAAGAGTAGTGAGTGTTGTGAAAATGATTGCACCCATACACAAATGTAGCTTACATCAATGCTGCTTTCTTTTAAGGATGTTAAGTTACATTATTTGTCAATCATGGTGGACTATAGATTTAAAATGTGGAATTCATTTAATGTGAAAACACATTACATTAATATCTGCACCTTTAATAACCAGTAAACAGACTGATGCATTTACATGCGGAGCAAAATATGTGTGACCTATTATATGAGGCAAAAATCTAGCTGCGACCAAATGTTAACGCTTATGTTATGCACTTTGAACTCTGATTAACAGTCTACGAGTGTCCTGCAGTTGCTGCTTCAAAACAAGCTTGTGCAACATTTATAGAGCACATACAATTTGTGCATGTATTTGAAAACGTAACATTCTGTAGTGCATTGAGTTATTGTTTAAGACCTTTTGTTGATTATTGTCATCATACAGTAGGCTCATCTGTGACATGCATACTAAACACTCTCTCTGCCATTGCATGTAATGATTTTGCATCTTCTCGGACACTTAATGCTTCTGAGGTCTACATGTGTGCTGCATTTAGAAAGCATCTGTCTTGAGGTCAGTGTTTCTGTTATGTGGTTTTTCTATGCATATCATAGAAAGACTAATTATATTATTTAGCTAGATCTTGTCTATGAGACAAAATAAACTAATTAAATAATGTCTGCAGGTATAAATACAAAAAGAGCAGTAAAAGCACTGATACGGCATTACAAATGTACTCAAGGGAAAGTAAATGTACACATTTTTTTAAAGGGGTGGTCCACTTTGATATCATATTTTAAACTTTAGTTGATGTGTAATGCAGCTGAGTGAACATAAACAACATCTCTGAATGTAATCCGCTCAAAGTTCAATGGAAATGAGACAATGGACATGGCCACTGAAGTGCTGTAATGTTATGGCAGAGAAAGCTTAACTGCCGTTCAAATGCTGCCATTTCCACAGAGCTTGTTCTGTTTATGCATTTGGGCCTCCAAAGGATATGACACAAAGACAGAAGTGCTTACATTTTAATTTTATCTATGTTCCATTCATTCATTTTGTTTTCGGTTTAGTCCCTCTATTAATCAGGGGTCACCACAGTGGAATTAACCGCCAACTTATTCAGCATGTTTTATGCAGTGGATGCCCTTCCAGCTGCAACTCACCACTGGAAAGCATATTTATACACTCATTCACACACATACACTATGGACAATTTTAGCTTACCTAATTCACCTGTACCGCATGTCTTTGGACTTGTGGGGGAAACCAGAGCACCTGGAGGAAACCCACACAAATGCAGGGAGAACATGCAAACTCCACACAGAAATGCCAACTGACCCAGCTGAGGCTCGAACCAGCGACCTTCTTGTTGTGAGGCAAAAGCGCTACCCACTGCGGCATTACGTCATCTAATTATGTTCCAGGGAATTATACATAATATATAGCTCTAGCATTTGACAAAGTTCAGCTTTCAGAATCTCTCCCAGTTCAGTGCTGGGTTCAGCTAACAACTATCAAACAAGGATCAGCTCCAACCATAATAGATAAAGCTGTGGATTGTAAGCCACAACCTGTAAGTATTTGTATTTTTTTTTAATTTATATATTTTATGCATAGTTTCTAGCATTAACAGTATGTTGTAGCAAGAACGTAAACAAGGATGTAAACAATGGGAATGCTGTTTGGCACTGTTAACAATTTAGCTACAAATTAATATTTATCAGTCAAACCGCTGTAAACACTCACAGTCTTCAGCAGAGCTGGAGTGTGTCTATATGCAGCCTCTTTCCCTGTGTTCTACATCTGAAGTAACTAACTCGCAAAAGATATGCGAATGTTACTTACACATGCTTATAACCCGAATATATATGAAAGACACTAGTCAGATTTTATTTTAAAGAGCAGGCGTGAGGTTTAGCTGTGTCCTTTTTAGTTTCTTTCTAAATCAGGCTCGCACTGACACAGTTATATTGACCGAAAGTGTATTTACCCAACGGCAAAGCGCTTGATAGTAGAGGCATGGCGTTTCCTAGTGTAATAGAGCTGATCTGTGAATGACAGCACATTATGTTTGCTGACCAATCAGAGCCTTTTGAGGGAGAGCTTTCGGAGGAACTAGGAAATATGGCGTTTATATATAATTTTTATGTTAGCTGAGTAGCTGTGTATAATTAAAGTAAGATATATGAAAAATGAACATGATTTTTTTTACAAATGAAGCATGAGCACACATTGCTTTGCTTCTTATAAACACAACCAAGCCTTAGAAATACACTCTGGACCACCTCTACTCAGAAAATCATAAAATTAATTTGAGTATTGTAATTTTTTACTTTACACCACAGAATAACATATACAGTCAAGCCCGAAATGATTCATACCCCTGGCAAATTCTGATTTAAAGTCATGTTTATTTAACCTTTTTTATTTAAAAATTTAACCTTGTTTATTTAAGTATTTTTTAAATTATTATTGATGACCCAGACGCCTATTAAAAGATCATAAGATGATTTACAAGAGGCATCATTGTATTTAGGTTTACATTATATTTACATATTTATTATTTACATTTTAACAGAAACTTTATCAGAATTTGCACGGGTATGAATAATTTCGGGATTGACTGTATATTGTTTTAACTCATAATGATAGATCAAGAGGTCAAGCCTTACTATAAAACACTGCTTGTGATCGGAGGATGTCAAGACACTTGTGTAACTGGTTTCAAGAGGCCATCACAGCAACACCTGGAGAACATATGGATTACGTATTATTATTCATAAAAATATTATCAGAAATCCTAATACATGTGGTATCTAATAGATGTGATTTAAAAAAATGTAAGCTATTATATTTTACTGACGTTGTAATCAAATTACTTGATAAACAAAGTGATAACCCTCTTAAAAAGACCATGGTAAACAAAACTTCCCTTCATATTTACAATGGGTGCATAGGAAATTTAATTAAATAACAGAATGTTTTTAACAAAGTTGTTTGATCCTCTTTTTAACCAGATTGGTTGAGCAGTTTCAAATGTCCTCTCTGTTCTGTTCTGAATTGGGCTTTTCAGAGTGAAGAGAAGAGGAAAGGAAAGGATGCTGGTAATGAGGATCATTTCCATCAGGATCAGGAGGAAGGAGAGCGGCAGCAACAGAAGAGGAGGAAACGCAGATTCAATTATATTTAATTACTACAGTATGATGCGTGTTCTTGCCCAAGATGGTGACGATGCTAGAAGACAAGCACGTGAGTGAGAAAGAAAAGTGGTTTTGGGTACTGGAAAAGAGGAACTTTGCAGTATACACTTGAACTATTTGTTAACGGTTTGCAATATAATGATCTAGGCTAAAGGGTTTAGGCGAGCTTAGGCTATATTTAAAGTCATCAGTCATCTTTTAAAGCTTTTGCTGTATGATCCTTGCACTCTTTAAAGTCCATGGTCATTCATTTATGTATGAAGAACAGTGGCGTTTAAATGCTTTTGAATTGTTAACACATGAGAAGTATATGATTGTTAAATGTATTACTAACATTTTTGTTTACTATTAGTAGTCTTATTTTATAACAGTAAAATTACAAAGCTACCATTTATTTTTTGTTTATTCGTTTATTTATTTCACATCAAAACCATAGACTTTCTATTCTAGTGATGAACTTCAAATGCTTCCAATCTATGGAGTGTGGAGAACAGATTGATGTATAATTTTGTATGACGGTTGGTACATTTTCAAAAGTGACAAAAATGTCAGGAGCAGCCAAACATAACCACTCTGAAACACTGAAAATGCTTATCATGAGCAATGATGGGGATAATGCATTACAATTAAAAATATTAATCAATAATGTTAGTGTTACTTTATTAAAAATTTAATGCGAGTTACTTTTTAGTTTAATTCATTAGATTTTACAAAATTAATTGCTGAGTAAAGATTAACGTGGTCATGATGAATCATGCATCCAATCAGAGAATGTGTTTCCCTGCAGGAGCAGACAGAAACGAGGATGTCTTTGGCTGACATTTCGGTCATGGAAGTACTCTCATTATTTTAAACACATTGAAGTAAAGAAAAAGGGGATTTTCTCAATGGAGAGTGATTTTCCTTGACTAGCATTATGTAAAGTACAAAAGTAGCAAACACATTACTTTAAACTTGTATTAATCGATACCAGGAAGTTCTCAGAAGATAACATTAACCTAAATTCAATATTTTGGTGAGCGACACGGTGGCTCAGTGGTTAGCACTGTCACCCCACAGCAAGAAGGTCGCTGGTTCAAGTCCCGGCTGGGTCAGTTGGCATTTCTGTGTGGAGTTTGCATGTTCTCCCCCTGTTGGTGTGGGTTTTCTTAGAGTGCTCCGGTTTCCCCCACAGTCAAAAGTCATGTGTAATAGATGAATTTAATAAACTAAATTGGCAATAGGGTATGAGTGTGAATGAGTGTGTATGGTGTTTCCCAGTACTGGGTTGCAGCTGGAAGGGCATCAGCTGTGTAAAACATACAGTATGTTGGATAAGTTAGTGATTCATTCCACTGTGGCGAACCCTGATAAATAAGCCGAAAAGAAAATGAATGAATTAATAAATATTTAAGTGTGGGTTTTTAAGGTAAATAAAGTGTACAAAATAAAGAAAGAGATCAAGCCTTAGGTAAGGTAAGAAAAAATAACACAAAACTAACTCAAAAGTAACTAAAAACATTACTTACCATAAAAAGTAATTAGATAATGCAACTTGTTACTTTTTATGCTAATGCATTGCTGTCAAAAGTAACTTTTCCCAACAGTGATCATAAGCTGTTTACATAAAGCCATTTGAAAGCTGTGCATTAGATCACATAAGTAATATAATCATAGGTTAACACAGTCTCTGTGTTAAAAGACTAAAATTAAAAAAAGAAGAAAATATGTTACCAGCCATCTGGGAAATAATGTAATGTGCTATTTAAATAATTCTAGTTTACACTCTCAGAAATAAAGGTACACGAGCTGTCACTGGGGTTGTACCTTTTCTTTAAGGGTCCATATTGGTACCCCAAATGGATATATTAATACCTAATAGGTACTAATATGTACCCATGAGGTAATAATATGGATCTTTGAGGTACAAATTTGTACCTTTTGAAAAGGTACCACCCCAGTGACAGCTCGTGTACCTTTATTTCTGAGTGTAGTCCATCATAAAACAGATCACAAAACACAATATTTTGACTTGTGAGCCTTTGTGAACAACAGATTATTTCATTCATGTTTTTTAGAGGATGCCAAAGCAGAATGAACGCCAACTATTCCAGCGGATGCCCTTCCAGCCGCAACCCAGTATTGGGAAACACCCATACACTCTCACAATCACACACTCATACACTACAGACAATTTAGCTTACAATATTCACTTATAGCACATGTCTTTGGACTGTGAGGAGAAACTGGAGCACCCAGAGGAAACCCACACGAACATAAGGAGAACATGCAAACTCTACACAGAAATGCCAACGGACACAGCTGGGACTCGAACCAGCAAACTTGTTATTTAATGTGTATTTATATAGCGCATTTATTGTGTATGGCCATACAACCAAAGCGATTGACAATTATTAGGGTGCTCTCCAAAACGCCACCAGTGTGCAGCATCTTGGAAGATGAGACGGCAGCCAGAGGACAATGGTGCCAGTGCGCTCACCACACACCAGCTATAGGGGGAGTGGAGAGATAGTGATAAAGCCAATTCGGTGGATGGGGATGATTGGAAGGCTATGATGGGGGGCCGATGGAGGGAATTTGGCCAGGACACCAGGGTTACACCCCTACTCTTTACGAGAAGTGCCATGGGATTTTTAATGCCCGGAAAGAGTGAGGACCTTTTGAACACAGGTTGAGCGCCCTCTGCTGGCCTCACTTACACACTTTCCAACAGCAACCTAGCTTTTCCATGTGGTCTCCCATCCAGGTACTGGCCAGGCTCAGCCCTGCTTTGCTTCAATGAGTAACTGGTGTAATGGAAATTCATTTTTAGATGAGCTTTATATGTTAGAAACTTGTCTAAGACTCATTATTACATGTGTGTGTATCTGTGTTCTCCATATGTTCATCATAAAACCTATGTGTACATTTTTATAGATAACTATATTTCTTTAGGTGAAAGCTTTTTCATTATCCTAAGAAGGATGTGTGGTTGTTATGAGCATATCGCACGAACAGCAGAAGACGCCTGACGTAATTGTAGATGAGGCCTTATTGGGAGTTGACCTCGTAAGCAGTACAAACCAGATAAAAGGGTGAACACACTTGGCTTTAGTATCTCACTCTGCAGAAACTGTTGCTGCTGTATGACTGTGATCTTCTTTATAAAGAATAAAACTTGTAAAAGACATCCCGGGTAAGACTTTGTTTCTTGACCACTGAGAGAGCCTCCTTAGAGAAAATAGCCACTACACTGGTCTTGGGCTGAAGGGTGATATGCCTGTGAGGCGACAGTGCTAATCACTTAGCCATAATGCCGCCCAATGGTTGACTTTTCATTCTTATCATACTCTTTTGTCATAATTCGATTTTTTTAGTCATTTTTTCAGTTCAACGTCTTAGTTCTCAACCAAGATTTCAGCTGCCACCTGCGGGCCTTAGGGAACTTCCAAGGGGACTGCAGGTCCAGCATGAATTAAAGGCTGGGCAATTTCTCTAGTGTTATCGATTAATTAGATTTTCGTGTTAAATTTCGATTTTGGTATTTCAATGCTATTTAAATAATGCTCTAGTTACATATTTAAGCAAAAACTAGTATTTTGTTGAAACAAAAACACTTTGAGAACAAGCCACTTTACCATAATTACAGCATACAGTAAATACTGGTAATATTTCAGGCTGTATAGGGGAACAAGGATATTTGGACAACTTTTGTGCCTCAAGTCAAAAAAAAAAGTTTCATTTTCACTTCTCCATTATTAAGAAACACCCATTTCACAACTCAGTGACTGAAAAATGAATGTGGACAGGAACATGTTGATGCATAAATCTATGCATCTTATTATACATGCAGCTGTTTTATAATAAAAAATCATTATGGACAAACAAACTGCTCAATATATTTCTTAAGAACCGTTAAAAAAAAAGACAAATATGATCCTGGACAACAAAACCAGTCATATTTTCTTTAATTGAGATTTATATATCATCTGCTTAAGGTAGATTTCCATCGATGCATAATTTAAGATAAAGTTATATCTGGCTGAGAGACACTGGTGAGTGTTAAAATAAAATCTACATCATGAGAATATTGCCTTTAAAGTAGTGCAAAATAAGTTCCCAGCAGTGTATAGGACCAAGCAAAATGTAAGTTTTGATATATTTACAGTAGGAAATAAATAAGATAAAATAATATTTTTTACTTGATGTTCTGGTGTTTTTTTGCAATAAAAGCAAATTTTTTGACTCATACAATGCTATTCCTACGATAACTGTATAGCTTAACTATTGTGCACTGTTCAAATTTGCTACCTTTTGATGTTAGTAATGAAAACATTCACTAATTTTAACTGCTGTAAAAATGCATTTTTTTTTCAAACTTTGCTTTTGCATAAATCTGTTAATCAACCTCAGTCCTGATCAAAACTACTAAATTGTTTAGAAAATTACAGATTTTTAACTTTTTTTATTGCCAAGTTCACAAGTGATGTCAATGACTTGGTAACTGACGTATTTTCAATATGAAATTAATTGTGTAATGGATTTTTTTTTTTTTTACTTTTATCACAGTCTCGGACATGTGAACGATTAGTGACAATATTGGCTTTGATGCATTGTTAGATTTTCATTTTTTCTCCCTAATTTAATGTTGGTTTTGCCCCATTGACCTATTATAACAACATTTGATGGTGCAGAAATATACAGTCTTTGTTTTTGCTTACTCCATGTAGTTCTGAGAACTGAGATGCATATTTTCATTTTCTTATACACATCAAGTGCGCTAGGGTCACTCTCAGACACTCACAGACACACATACACACACTTTAATTTGCTGTTATACTCATACCTGCCAACACTCCCATTTTCCCAGGAGTCTCCCGTATTTCAGACTCATCTCTGAAACTAAGGTTTTTTTTTTTTTGTTTTTTTTTTGCACAGGCTCATCTAAAAGGTTATTGGTGCTAAGTGATGATCAACAGTAAAAATTAAAAATTAGACCTCTTCCCAACAGGGAAAACCACCAAAAATCAAACATACATAATTATATGGTGTCATGGTTTTGTAATAAAAAAATGTGGTCATAATGGAATGTTTGCTAAAAGATAAAAGTCCATTCCATAATTACTTTTCTTATTGAAAACACGTCATTTTTTTTTTTTCACCAAATCAGTGACGTCATTTATGAATTTGGCAATTAAAGAGTTAAAATCCTGTTATGTTTTGATCAGGACTGAGGTTGATAAACAGATTTGTGCAAAAAACTTTATCTGATGCATTTTTACAGCAGTTTAATTCAGATAATGTTTTCACCTCTAACATAACAAAAGGGTAGTAAATTTGCCTAGTGTATTGTTGAGTTTTTTTCTTTTTTTTTTAAATCAAAGCATTTTCTCAAAATATGTGTCAAAATAAGATTTGTCACCAAAAATCATTCTTCTAGCTGAAACACAGACAACGTAATAGTCAAATCAAGACTCAAAATCACACCAGAGTGGATAAAAACATCCCAAACAGTAAATAAAGGTTAATACTTTTTAAGACTTAAGATTTTTAACACTTCACAGTGTTTTAGGCCTACAACTGTTTAGGAATAAAGTACTTGATGTTTAAATCAATTACATGTACATCATGTCTCCTGGATTGATAATAAATTCTCCAATCATGAGCAGAAAAAAAAAATGTCAATGTCTTAATTCTATCAGTCAATCTCAATTGCTATTTGTGGCATTTTACTGTACATGCTATTTTAGGCCATCCACACACTGGTATGCAGTGTCCTACTCTACTGACTTAGCTTTCGATGTCATCTATTTCAATTTGTCACCTCTAGATTACACTGAGCTGCATCTGAGACACAGATCTGAAGTCATCCTTTCCTCCCTCTCCCCCCTCTGGCCTTATGAAAAAAGAAAATGCTTCTCAGATGAGCAGCGATTTGATCTGTCAGTCATGCTAATGTGCTCTGTCACTTCCAAAGTGCTCAGTTATCTCTCCCTAAATTGAGCTCCCCCTGCTGTACCCCACACTGAGACAACGAGAACACAAAGACACATGTTCAAAAAGCAACACATTCCCATTAAATTGAGTGCTAAGTGTGAAATCCATTATAATTAGCAACCCAATTTATTCCCTGACTGCAAACACTACAGAAACGCTATCTGTTCACTGTTCGGTGACACAATTAGCCAAGTTTATGCAGAGGAAAGCTGTCTTGTTTTGGTTTTGTGGATTAATCTGACCTAATTTGAATATGAAAGAAAAATGAGAGCGATTGCATTTAGTGAATGCACCAGAATGTCTTCTTTGCAGAAATAATTTTAATAAAGATTATCAAAAGCCCATGGCAAAAATGTCCATTCAAAACCTACTTTAAATATAATAAAAAACATTACAAGGTATAATAAATACAATGCTTGAGACTTACTTGATCACAGCAAACAATTTTGTGCTTAATAGACATCTAACAGGCATCTAAACATAGGCAGCTTGGCTAAAACAAGATAAAACTTCGGCTGTCAGTGAAAATCTAATAGACATCTAAGAATATCCCAAAACTAGACTAGTCGTCAAATAGACAGATTAGACAGACTTCGTATGGGCAGTCATTCATTTCAGTTTATTTGATGACTAGTCTTGTTTTGGCTTATTCTTAGACATCTATTAGATTTTCACTGACAGCCTAAATTTAGCCTTGTTTTAGCCAAGATGACTGTCAAATGTTCTCGCTTTATTGATTATCAGTATGCTCTTGTCTCGGATCAAATCAAATCATATTGGAGAGCTTGAACATACACACACAAAAAAAAAAGAAAAAAAAAGACTTTTGCTGCTTGTTCAAACTAAACTGTTTTTAAAACTAAAAATCTGCTATTTTACTTTTTTTTTTCCAGCAGCTGGGGTGCTGGAATTTTTTTTTTTTTAAATAACGGCCATTAAATTACTGACATTTACTGTGAAATAAAAAACAGTAAATTACAGAAATTTACCAGAAATTTAAACTTAAGGAAATTTCTGTAATTTAACGTTCATTATTTTATGGTAAATGTCTGTAATTTACCGTCTGTTTAATTTTTTTAAGGCTAATTTAACGGCACCCCAGCTGCCAGAAAAAACAGTGTACCTGAGTTTTTTACAGTGTACCTGAGTTGAAACAGCACAATACTTAAGTTTTTGGGGACAACTTAACTGTGTTATGTTCAGTCGACTTATGATTGTTAAAATGATCAAGTAAACTTAATCGATTTGTATTGGGTCAATATGAAGAAATTGTGTGAAACCCAGAATTTTTTTAAAGTGTAGGGGTATTTAGTTCAAGCTTCTGTAGTTAAAATAAATACTACAACATTTTGTAGTTAAATGTCAATAAAAATATATTTTAAAAAATCATAGTATTTAGTCTCTACTACACTTTATCTGTACTCTGCACTGTAAAAATATCTGTTAATTAACAGTTTCCGAATTTTCTGTTTATTTACGGTTGTGAATTGATGTTGAAAATTCTACTCTTCAGTTTAACAAAGTAACTTTTGTTGACATTTAAATAGTTTTAGACAAGAAGTAATATAAGTAATAAGAAGTTTAAGAAGTAATATATAGAGAACTAAGTTTGTGAAATAACAGAACCTGGGAGTTTATTACCAGGTTTTTGCAGCATAATATACAACACCAACCCAAAAGACCAAGGTTCCATAGTGCAATTCAAAAGCCTAAATAAGTGGGGTAAAAACATGAATCATAAAATACGGAAAAACTGTCAATTTACAGATATTTTTTTACAGTGTGTACTTTCTATAATCTATACTTTTACTGTACAAATATGCGTTCTTTATTATATGCCAGACTCTGTCAAACCCATGTATAATATCATGGCTGAAATAATATGAAAATATTAATTATTAAAAATGCTAATGTAATGACTGCATTTGTTATCATTTTTAAGAAGTATATGTCCTTGAAATGCAGGCCTCTGGGTTCATGCAAACATTAGCAAATCGATTCAGTCATTACTAGGAAGACAGAAAAACAAAAAAGCCATTTTACACAGAAAGCTGATTTGACTGCTGTGACAGAGGGAAGCTGTTTCTTGAATAAACACTGAGCTTTAGTCCAATTCCCTCGATAGATAGTCTCTTTGTGTTACTGCATGTGCAGAGGCTCAGTGCTTTTGCAAATGTAAGCTTTGGGAAGGATTGCGCTGACTTACTACCGAACGTAAAAGCAAAGCACATTTAAATGTTGCAATTTGTATTTTGAGAATTAATACTGATATTGCGATGACATTACGATTACAACTTTGCATTTTTAGAAATGGGGAAACTGGTGTGGGAAAGAGCTTCTGTCGTAGGCTTAACATTCAATATCAGACCTTCCTTCACTGTAAAAAAAATGCTGGGTTCCACCACAAAATCTCTTCTTGTCAAGTTAACTCAATGGCTTTTACAACTTAAGGTTGATTGAACATAAAACAATTAAGGTGTCCCAAAAAAAAAAAAAAAACATAAAGAATTGGTCTGAGTTTGAAGAAGCAGCAAAAATATTCTATGTGTGTTTGTTTTAGATATAGTAGCCAATATCTATGTACCAATCAGTATCTATCTATCTAGATAGATAGATAGATAGATAGATAGATAGATAGATAGATAGATAGATAGATAGATAGATAGATAGATAGATAGATAGATAGATAGATAGATAGATAGATAGATAGATAGATAGGATTCATCCACTTCTTTAATAACATGTTAAAATAACATGGTTAAGTTTTATTACTTTGAATCAAATTAACCTTGTAATTTTAACTTAAATGACCTTAAATTGGTTTAAAAAAGCTTCTTTAAGCATATTAAGCTGACACATAATAAATATATTCTAATAAATTATTATTAATATTAAAACATGTTTTCATAAACGATCATATAAGATTTGTTGTGTGTACACTGTTCAATATTCCTAGAGTAGGCCTAATAGCAAATTTATAAAAACTTGGAACTATAGAAAAAATTAAGAAAAATAAATCTATTTAATAATTTGTACAAAATATAAGCAGGTTTTACTATCCATTAATTAACATAACACTAATGTGTAGGCTGATGTTTATTTGATACATAAAGTATACCTATGCAAATTCACACATTAAATCAGGAGTTTTGATATCAGCTGTAAACATGAATTGATAAAGGTTGTAGAGCTAAGGCGCACGATGATTGAACAAGCCCCCGAGTGTTACAGCGCGCACACGCTATGTGAACCAACTGTGAAACAACTTCACACATCTATTTCTGGTCTCAGCAGTTTTCAGTCTTTTGAACAAACTATGTGGAAAAAAAAATCTAATTACTTTACCTGTTACCGCTGTGTCGCTGTTTAGCAACAAAGATAAGAAACCTCCAGCAGATAAACTGCCACCTCCTTGGTGTCTCACCCTCAATTCTTCTACCGCTACCTGCATGCGCGTGCCCGTGTATAGCTGCTTTGGCACACCAACAGCCCACAAGAGGAGGGAAAATGAGCATAACTTTGACTCCGCCCTGAAGAAGGCTGGAAGTCTGCAGATCATACTTGTGTTAGTATTTGAAATATTCACTGTTAAGTGGGGTTTTTAAGTTATTATTATTATTTTTTGTTTGATTGTTTTAAATATAGCCGCTTTTTTCGTTCTATATAAATTGAACCGTGTTTTGGTGTCACGATTATAAAGTAAAAATGTTTTAAACAATTTATTACGATTTAATTACATGTATATATTAGAAAAAAAAAGTTATTAAAAAATGCTAAATTGAAACGTTTTAGAGTCCAAGTCTTAAATTTAGTCATGTTATTTTGATACTATATGTACGGTATATATAACATCATACTGTGGGTAGTCCAACATCTAACTTTTTAACACAGATGAAACGGCCATTTTTTTTGCAGTTCTGTAGCAAAGCATGCAGCAGGAAGCATGAAAAGAACTTTCTGGTAGTAAGTGGTTTCTCTCTCTCTCTCTCTCTCTCTCTCTCTCTCTCTCTCGCACACTAAACAAGAATACATGCCTGTATATGCATTTATCAACAACCAAAACATTTAAAATATGGAATATAAAGAATCTGCTTCTGGTTTAGGTTTAATCTTGTCCAAGTTTTAAGTCACATAATGTGCTCGTGAAATATTTTGAGCAGGATCGAGACCTCCTGATCAAACCTTTTTTTTTTTTTTTTTGCACCTGCAGTAACCAGCCCAACACCTCAAGCCACAAATAACGTTTCTACATGACAAAACAGTTTTACCATGTCGTGTTTTACCAAGTTAGTTTTTTTAATCAACATTTTAAAACCACAAAGAGAACTAAGAGTGAATTCATTTTTTTTAAATAATAAAACCTCTTGCTCTCTACAAATCATACCTTATCAGAGACATTGTATACTACTTGACAAAAGTCATGTCGCCTATCCAAGTTTTTTTTAATTCAATTTACCTTTTTTTTTTTTTTTGTATAGCACTTTTACATTGTAGATTGTGTCACTTAACAGAAATAATGTACAGTATAGAATATAAAGTCATGGTGCAGTGGAAAAAGAATTAATATTGTGAGTGACTCCCATGAGCTTGGAGGACTGCATTTATACATATCTGCAATGACTTGAATAACTTATAAATAAAGTCAACTGGAATGGCAAAGAAAGCATTCTTGCAGGACTCCCAGAATTCATCGAGATTCTTTGGATTCACTCCTTAATCTTACAAAGACATGCTCAATAATGTTCAGATTTGGGGACCAGGCTGGCCAATCCTGGAACTTTGATGTGGAGGCTGAAGTATGAGAAGGAGGGCTATCCTGCTGATCAAATGGAAGCTCCAGCTTCTCCTGTGGTTTGTAATGCAATGGGCAGCACAAATGTCTTGATACCTCAGGCTGTTGATGTTTCCATCCACTCTGCAGATCTCTCATATGCCCCCAAACTGTATGTAACCCCATGATTTCTTCTTCACCAAAATTAACTGACTTCTGTGAGAATCTTGGGTCAATGTGGGATCCAAGCAAGTCTTCTGCAGTAAAAATCAGTGCAAGGCACCCAAAAAAATATTCACATGGTTAATCCTTTAAAAAAAAGCTGCGTGTGTTTTTTTTTTTTTTAAAGGATTAGCCATGACTTTTTGTGTCATGTCTTAAGCTTAAATGTTGCCTGTTGTTGTTACTACTGTATATGTATGCTTAGTGTTGCGTTGTGTCATGAATCAGCACTCTTAACTGCAAACCAAATCTATATTTGATACTAATTAATTAACCTGTGTTTATTTACAAAACACTGTTACATAGACTTCCTGTTACATTGTGACCCCTTATTTCCAATCCCTCTGGGGGGGGAAAAATTTGTTGTTTTATATCCAAGTGCATTTTAGATGTGGTAACTTTTTTCTAAGTCTCCTCTCTGACAAATATCCTTCCTTATCTGTCAATAATTAAGTTAAGCTTCCTGACTGAACAGAGATTGTGACCTCAGACAGGTCAGAATGCAGAAGTGAATGGGAATCCGCTGCTACATCCTGACTAACTGTTAAATAATTACTGTCCAGCATATTACTGTTCAAAGACAAATCATTATGGTTCGCTCACTCAAATATCGCAAGACACAAGGAATTAAACATCTTTTTAAACATGACTTTCTGGTTTGGTTTCATTCAAAAAAATAACATCAACCCTTTCAAGCAATAAATCAGACAGAAATCTTAAGGTTACAACCGCATATGCTTGCATAACCGCGGCGAGTTAATGAGTCATTTAACTGTTGAGTCAATATAGCAGGTTTTTTTACGGTACATGCAGTGAAAAATTGAATACTAAAGATCTTTACGCTGCACTCCTTCAAACTGAGTTTGTAAGTTAGAGTCTGAAGTCTATCACTTCTATCAGCACATGATTTGCTTCATGACTAAGATCGCTCTGTGATAACACTAGTCAGAACATGATTTTTAAATTCTGCACAGAATAAGGCTCAGGATGAAGTCTTTTTCTTGACTTGAGTCACAGATTTTGAAATGAATAAAGTATAGTTGTTTTATAATTATCTATTAATATTTTTTTTACATTTATTCTTAAACAAAATTAACTTTCTATTTAACATTGTCAAAAGAAGTAGCACTTGTTATGATTCTTTGTATTTTAATGCATGGTGAAATCAATCTTACACTGTGCATTTAGTGCTTGAAAATCAGTTCCTGTTGTGATACCTGACAGAGTTATTATCTCAATAACATCTCCGCTTAAATTTTTCTGCCTCTTTCCGTTCCTCTGTGGGAACCACAAGACATCAGCTTTTAGTAGAGCAAACTTAAACTAATGTGTGGCAGTAATACTGGATTGGAAGAAGTTTATTATCACTTCACTACCTCCTGGCTATCGGTCTATTACTGGCCAGCAGATGCAGTTTGTATGACATGCATGAGAGAGAGAGGAAGAGAGATAAATTTACTACTGTAATATATGTAAATACAGATTTACATTAGTTGAAATGCCACTATATACATGATTTAAATCACATATAAACCTGTTATTTATGGCAATAAATTTGCTTATGCAGTTTACGTAGCAGAGCTTATTCAGTCCTAAATCTAATGGACTGGAATAGGTAAATATGATTTAGCACTGACTACATTATTTTTTTAATTCTCTTGATCTGTAAAGGATTTTTGCTGGATCTGGCAGCTTTAAGAAGGATGTTCTCCTATAGATATAGAAATCCTGACAGCTTACTTTACTAGTTTACTTTTAATCCACACTGGTTCCTTTTCTACATCCATCCAGTCACCTTTAGTGTAAAAAACATAATTATTCTAATGCAAAAATTTAACAAATGTTAACAAATGCTTTGGTGACCAGAATATTCAGAATAACAGCATTTATTCAAACCAGAAATCATCTGCAACATAATAAATGTATTTCTGGTTACATTTCATTTATGTGTAATCATTTAGGTGTCCTTGATGAATAAGTGAAGTAAGTTTATAATTTATAAGCTATTTTTGATAGATCATGTGCTCATGATTGACCATGGCTGGTCCTGCATTAGCTATCACATGATTTACCAATCTGATGATTCCAATTGAACATAAATAACCAGATTTTCTTACCTTAGTCATTTTGCCTTGAAGAATCCCCCCATCCACCCCTATTGCTCCCCCTCTTTCCTAGACTAATCCAGGACAGGGCAGCACATCGGCTCAGTGGTTAACACTGTTGCCTCACAGTAAGAAGGTCACTGCGAGTCCCAGCTGGGCCAGTTGGCATTTCTGTGTGGAGTTTACATGTTCTCGCTGTGCTTGTGTGGGTTTCCTCCGGGTTCTCAGTTTTCCTCCCACAGTCCAAAGACATGCAGTATAAGTGGATTCAATAAACCAAATTGGCACAGCACATTGTTACAAACAGTACAGTGTTTTAGTACTGAGCATTCACCGCATAACCGTAAGTTGGTATATTTGGTGGTTCATTCCACTGTGGCAACCCCTAATTATCACGGAATAGGCTGAGCGAACAAATTCAGGGCAGCTCTCAGGACCTGAGCTCAGACTCTCCTTTCTCCCAATGAAACGGGAGGGAGCACAGGGCTCAAGGATCCTCTAAGCTCAGGGTTCTCCCCAGGACAGCATGCCAATTATGCTTTATTATCAATCAGCAGCTAAGTGTGAACTTTAGAAAAGCCTTTCTAAATGAAAAATTTTTTTTTTTGAATAATAGAGGATATATCATATTTGATATGTTCACAAAAGCTTTTCAACATGGACTATAATAAGAATTGTTTCTTGAGCAGCAAATCAGCATTTTAGAATGATTTTTGAAAGATAAAAATAATTCATTAATTCACTTTCTCTTCGGCTTAGTCAATTTATATATGTATATATATATATATATATATATATATATATATATATATATATATATATATATATATATATATATATTAGGGATGTAACGGTATCAGAATTTCACGGTACGGTAATACCTCGGTATGAATGTCACGGTACGGTATTTATTGAATCATTTACAGGAAAAACAAAACTTTTGAAAATACTCCAAAAAAGTACCAAAAGTGTCAATGACATACAAATTAGCCATCTATCTGTAAGCTTTGAAACACTAACTTCAATTTTAATAACAAAAAATTATTAAACCATGTAAAAAAAATAAAGTTTCAATTTAGTATTGTTGAAAACTCATCACATTCAACATTTAATCACTCACTCACTTACTTAGATAGAGATGGGTTTAAAGGAAAATTATCATATAACTATAATCTGGTAAAAGTTGGTATCTCTGGGCATTTACAATGTCCCCTGCAACAGAAAAAAAAACCCTCTCATTTGGGACTGAGGTTTCTGGGACAGAGATATGACTTGGCCCATGTTGACAGCAGTGGGTTGTGCATTGTCTTTCCCCCACTTGAGAAGACAAACCATGAGTGAGATAGAGGTCTCTTTGCGGTACAAGTCAA